GGGGGTTAACGGGGTTGGATAGGAGAGAATTAATTCACAGCCACACTGCTCTGTTGTCTCGGTTGTCATCGCTGCTCTGTGCACTGGTGGAGCATTGTCTTGCAGCAGGAGTACCTGCTACTGACTGAAGTTTTCTTTAGGCCATTCCCAAAGGGGGGATATTAATTCATGTTCTTATGCCAAGCAGAATTGTAAATAGGCTGATATATCAATGTCAAGCTCATACTGTGCCAGAACAACATAGGGGGAACTGCTGCTTTTTCTTTCTTCGTCCTTACTGTCGTCATTTTCCTTCTACTTCTTTTGTATGTTTTATCACTCTCTTGTGAACTGCTATTTCTGGGGTGCCTTGATAGTCGGAAGTCGGAGCAACTTCGTGCTGTGGAGGCTAGAGAGATGAGCAGAGTAAGCCTGATACCCCGTTTGGACTTCTCTGTTGACATCCACCCCTTGGCGCTCATATCACCTTATGCAGTTGCGAGCGCCGTAAAACCTTACTAAAACAAACAAGGTCTTAGGGTACACCTTACACACAGTGCACGTCACCTACTCGGCAGCTGCGCAGAGATGTGATGATCAGTGCCAGTAAGCTCGGTGCAAGGATGCCTGAAAGCTCATCATTATAATAGGTTTTGACGAAGGGATATAACTCATTATAATACAACCCTCCATCTAGTCTTGGCATAATCTTTTCCCTTGATGCTGGGAAATCGTTAGACCCAGTGCCCATTATAAGCACGATCGGGTCGGTTCGGTTTGATTTGGTAGGAGGGATTAAATATTTAAAGTAAAGTATGTATGAAAAGTAAGACCGACCCCATTTTTTTAAAATAGCAAGGCTTATGAAACCCATTTTTTAGTTCTCTATTCAGACCAAGGATGTTTATAGGGCCTAATCTTTTAATATAATTATGAAACATGAAAAATGAATAGAAGCGGAAGTGTCACCAGCAGTATAAAATAGCAGTATAGAACGGTTGTTCGGCCGTCTGAGTGAGAGCGAGAGTGAGAGGCTTGACGCGGCATCGGCAGTTCTCCCTATTATATACTCTGCTGTGTTAGCCTAATACAGCGAGATTTGCAGCCTGGACTAAAGAGTAATTTTATAAATTGCCAGCATGATTCCTTGGTTTCATGTCTTTTTATTTGTACTCAGTGTATGCCTATTTTATTTTGCATTTCGGAAGGGCGTTCGGAAAGGTGGGCGTCTTCCACCTTACGATGGGTGGATTCCATGGCTAGGGTGCGCGATTAAATTTGGTGAAAACCCCATTGATTTCATCGAAGCAAAAAGACGACAGGTGAGAATATTCTTGTTATAATGTGACATCTGAAACAATTATATTTTCAATGTTCATAGACTCTCTCTCTCTCCCGGGCCCCTCTCTCTCTCTCTCTTCATCTCTCTCCCCCTCTCTCTCTCTTCATCTCTCTCTCCCTCTCTCTCTCTCTCTCTCACTGTCTTCTTGTCTCTCTCTCTGTCTCTCTCTCTCCTTCTTTCTCTCTCTCTCTCCTTCTTTCTCTCTCTCCTTCTTTCTCTCTCTCCCTCTTGCTTGCTTTCTTGCTTGCTTACACACAGACACATACACACACGCACGGTACACACGCACGCATGCAGCCAAACATATATCAATCAACATCTCTAATTAACATACACACACAGTCGCACATCATATTCAAAGTTAACAGACATATTTTGACGGTAAAAGACATCATGTCACAAAAGTCTTTCTCTTAAAATTTTATGTATAGGTGTGTAAGATCATGAGGGACCATTTGATTGTCTGTTGCGATGTTAATTAATTTCTGGTTTAATGACTAGGTTTTACTGTATTTGAAAGTCTGAAAAGGCCTTCCTAGGGTTTACTATTCCCCTTCCCCTACCTGGTTAAAATAAAAAAGAGTGTTCACAGAATGGTTTTAAAAGGCAGTGGTAGTATCATTCAAATTGCAGGGTCAAACTTTAGTATGTAAATATTTAATATGTTTTCAGGGGCAAGGGTACTTTTAAAGTATTGTGAGTTTTGGAACCAAAAGTCAACTGAATCCTGATGGAGTAGCATCCCTGGCCCATGGGCATTAAATTACCAGCGCCTTATTTTCTTACTTTTTTCTTTGGTTTTCAGCTTGGATCAGTGTTCACACTGAAAGTTGCTGGTGAACACATCACTTTTGTCTGTGATCCGGAAGATTTTCATTACGTCTTCAAATCCAGCAAAGTTAGCTTTCCTAAATCTGTCCAGGACCCAGTTAATAAAGTTGGTGAGTGAATAGTGTACCAGTGGCCATTTGCTTCCCTAATTTTATTCTGTTAAATGTTTCTCTTTTATGTTTTGTAAGAAGTTAAAATCTCCAATCCATTTTCTTCAATCCCAAATTTGAAAGAAACAAATTATATATCTTTTTGGTGTTGAAGCTTGATTGAAAGTAGTTGAGATTGTGTTGCAGAGGTTGTTGCCATGGATTTAAATTTTAATGGGAAATATTTGATTTCTGAACGCAATGGAATTGGCTCCCTGTGAGGTAAAAACTCTGCATGCGGAAAGTTTCATCTTGAACCTGCCCCCACCCTCTTTTATAATAGGGTCAAAACATTCACATCTCTGAGCATTGCAACCGCGCTGCGCGCGCATGTGTGTGTGTGTGTGTGTGTGTGTGTGTGTGAGAGTGAGTGTGTGTGTGTGTGTGTGTGTATTACTAAGTATTATAAGTATTATAAACTTGTTGTTGATTTTTTTTACCTGATTTCCACACACAGACCACAAATGTCTGCAGTATGCAGGATATCTCACCTGCTCAAGTCTTATTCAAATGTATACACACACAATTTACTCAGCTCAATGACATTATCAGAGTAAAACAGTTTAATTAGAACACACACAGACACACACACTCATTTGACTCACTCACACACACTCACACACACACACTCACACACACTCACACACACACACACACACTCACACACACACACACACACACACACACACACACACAGGCAGAGTTGGAAGCCTGTCTCTTAAATGATTTGAATTGTGTTGTGGGGGTGTTAATGTGCTTAAAACTTATATTTTGTTATGAGACTGTTATTGTATTCTAATACAACTACAACATAAACCAAACAGGTCAACTGAATTTTAGAATTAAAACAGTTAGTGTAGATCACACCTTTGGCTGATATTTCATGCTGAAATTGTTTTATTTGGTTTCAGATGTTGATCTCATGTTGCCTTCCCTGAAATTACTTCTAGGTTTCATGCAATCCGATACTTTTACTGAACATTTTGTTGTTGTTTTGTTTTGTTTTGTTTTGTTTTTGTGTCAGCGTACTCTGTGTATGTTTTACTTAACAGCTTTCTGTGACATGCTGAAAACTTTTACTTTATGTTTTTTTGTTGTTGTTGTTTTTTTGTGTGTCAGCCTGTAACATACTCCCTAAATTTTACCCTGCAATACTCTGTGATATGTTGAGAGTATGGCCTGAGCCTTCTACGCTAAAGGCATTTTCAGTAGACCGCGAACACTAGAACACTAGAAATGTATGTCTGTGTGGCGGGGTGGGTATCTTAAAAGAGTTTATTGGGGGTGAAGTCATATCTGATGTTGATATTCTAGCTTGTGCTGCACAGATCCAAACAAATAAAGCCAGATCATATCTCACGCAGCTGAGTTGCTTTTAAGCTTGTGTGTTTACCATCTTGAGTGAAATTTACAGTGTCTTGGTGAACAATGTTGAATCTCTCCATCGTTGTAAAATAATTAAAACTGTAATGACAGTAAGAAGCCTTTCTTTTCAGTTTTATATTTTGACTGGATAATGAGGACTAGTAATATGTGCAGCATCATGGTGAAATCAGGTGTTTGTCAAAATGTTGAAATTGAAGAAATTGACATTTTTTTGTTAGTCTGGGCAAATTAAAAAAATGTAATTCTTATTTCTATTTATTTCTGGACTCAGCTTTCTTTATGTCCACATACAAACATTTCTATGTTGATCAAAGGCACAAGAAAAATGTAAATTTGCCCTTACCAAGTACACTCAACTTTGGAAGTCACCAAACTTTGGGAGCCATTTTTTCGCTAATTTTACCTCTAACACCAGGCACTCCCACCTTCTTCATGCTTAAATGTCTAGACTTCTCTTCAAGATAGATGGGTAATTTTTTCATCAAAAGCAAAGGAAATGAACAAGCTTTAAGATTATACCGCTAACGCCATATTCCCAAATATTGATGAGTGCCTGATTTCACTGTGTCGTTACACATATATAATATTTTGTACAGTATTCTTCATCAACACCAGTGGACATATGCCCCAGGCCATTGTCAGGAATAGAAGAAAAAGAGAGATCAAAAACAAGAGGAAGAAAAATAAATATAAATATATATATATATAGTTTCTTATCGTCAGTTACATGTTGTATCATGTTGGTAGACCCTTTGTCTCTTTGAAAAAAAGTTGAAGTAGAATGCATTTTTATAAGTTTATAATTGCCATCTTAGGATCTTATTTTGCAATCAGTAATTTCATAAAATCAATTGATTTTGGTGTATTTCGTAATTCTGAAGAAAGTGCTTTGTTTGACATTAATTTCCAGCTGGGATAACCCGAAAGTCGTTTAATGAAATTCATACCAAGATGCACGACACCCTGAAAGGACAGCTGGCCACAACTCAGCTTTCTTCCACTTGTGACCTCCTCTTCAAAAAGTTTGAGCATTTCTTTGGTCAGTTGAAGGGTATGTTTCAGTTTTTGTGAAGAATAAGAACTTGTGTTGCTGACAATTACCACATTATCACCACCGCTAACGATCATGCAAATTGATAACTATTCAAATTTTGGTTTGGTGACTTAGCTGATTTTCAGCTATAGGCCTATGGCTTCAAACAGAGGATGCACTGTGGGTATTGTATATATTCATAATCTTTTATACATGTATATATATATATATGTAAAGGGAAAAATGGCATTGCTAACAAAGATCATATTGTTTTATAGACTGAAGATATAATTTATAGATACCACATCTATTCTTGCACAAAGAAGGTGAGGCTTTTGCAAATCATGTGATAAGACCTGAAGCTATAAAAATGTTTTGCGGGTGGTTGATGGGTGCTCTGGTGTGGTTTTCTTCTTCTTTTTCATCAAACATCTATCGTCCTTATCTCTCCTCCTTCTTGTTTTGTGTTTGTTACTCTCTTGTAACATCTCTAATTGTCGGCTCTTATATGACCTTATTGTGTTGCAAGTGCCGTAAAATTCTTACTAAAACTAAAAACTAAAAATGCTTTATTTACCCTTTATTTAATGATTACTGCCCTATGAATGAGAAGTTGACAATAATACTGTTGATTAGGATTTAAAGTTGTAAGAGACCAACAGTCAATGAAATGTAGAATGTGTGCCATTTGAGCCTCATTTCTGTTTTACTAAGTAGGTTAAGTTCATAAAGATACTAACGATTTTGTTCTTGCTGTATTTTTTTCAGAGAATGTGGATCCACAGCAAGAAACTGATCTGTATGGAATAGTGCGTTCAATAATGTATCGGAGTGTCATTCACATATTCTTTGGAGAAGGATCGATACCTGTGGAGAAAGAGGTAATGTTTTTAACAGTTCTACCAGCGTCAGGTTAACCCATAAGATTGAAATCAAAAGGTCCTTAATTTTTTTACTTAAAGCGTAGCATAATTCTTGATAAAGTCTTTCTAATTAAACCGAGGAATGTCTGAAGTCTGTGCTTGACTGCAACTTTTGTGTTTGTTTTTCTGATATTAGTTTAGTTTGGTAAGAGTTTAACGGCACTCGCAACTGCATAAGGTCTTATGAATGCGAATTTTTCTGGTATGATAAACAGTAAAACTACTCTGTGAACACAACAGTTTTGATTTAAAATGAACTATATAAAATGATTTTTGCTTACTATGTATGATGATGCCTTTTCATGTCCCCTGACCATGATTTTGAAAAGAGGGGGAGGGACTGCTGATAAGATGATTTTCATGGTAAATTTTTTTTCGGTCATTATTATGAGCAGAATCCACCTTTAGTTGTGGGTTGGTGCATGCAACTTCCACACTAGTCTTGTTTGTTGTTCGGTGCTTAATTTGTTTTAATGTTCCAACTGACTTACTATGGTGGTTAAAAAGTCATTGATTTGAAATATATTAATATAGCCTACAGATTAGTCTTTCATAATATTTCATAGGTCAAAATTTAATTTAATTTGTGGTAAGCAAAACATGTTTCTCTAACTGCTTGACTTACAGCTTATAAGTCTTTCTCGTTCCTGTTGAATGTATGAAATTTGTCTTCCAAAGTACATTATATTATGTATTATTAGAATCTAGATTATTTTAGAGTTTTGACAGAACAGATTCCAGCTTTATTTATCTTTCGCTATACTATAGCCTTTAAATAATTTCCGGTAGCTGATGTGCCACCTTACCTCATGTGTGCCGATACTTGTATGTAAATATATTCATAACATAGAATATAATTTTGTTGAAAAAATTTGTTTCAGGAAGACTTCTTAGATTTTGAGAATCATTTCATGACATTTGATGAGCAGTTTGAGTATGGGACTCGATTACCTGTCATATTTATCAGGTAAAGGGCTGTCTTCTTTTTATCACGTATCACTTTAGAAATTTCTTTGCTGACTGATTTAAAGAGTGCTGAGTTCCTAATTGATTGCAGTCTTCTTTGTAGAACAATGTAATGTTCTAACATGTGTGTAAGCATTAGTATTGTTTATGCTAGAAGATGAGGGATTGGGAAACCATACATGAATAGATTTTCAAGTCTTGAATTTTTTAAAATTCGTATATATCTTTGTCTTTAAAACACGTAATATCAAAACTCATACACATAACAAAAAGATTTCTTCCACCTGTCAATTTCACTACATGCATGCTAGACTGTAGTATCAATCTTTTTCCATGGCCTTTAAAAGTTCAGATTTATTCCCATCCTCCGCACACCCACCCCATTTCTGTGCATTTGACACTGGAACAGAAAGATATTGAGTACAATTGGACTTTCAAAACATAGTGCACTGGACATCGGTGGAACTGGCAGGGTGACATACTATTGTGTTTTTTCTTATACAGTCTAGCACGCATATAGATCTAGTGAACATGCATATATAGCAAAAAGGGCACATAGCGAATAGATTTTTAGGTTCCATGGGGTACAAAATAACCCCAAGTATGGATAGTGTTGCACATGTATAATATTCTTTATATTAAAATACATACTTAGCGAAATTCATACATAATGAAAAGATTTCCGTATCCTTTTGATTTCACTTTGTGCGTGCTAGACTATGTATTATTAGTATACTTAGTTTTATTTTGCCTGATGACTTTGGCTGAAATGATGACACTATATTACACCAGTCTATCACAGGTTGGTATAGTTGCATCTTTTTGTGCCATGATTTCTAAAATTGTGTTAAAAAATTTATAAAGAAATTTTGTTTCTACACATATTTACAGGAAGTGGGCAGCTTCTCGACAATGGCTTCTGGAAAAATGTGAAAGAGTCGTGTCATTATGTACCAAGACGATGCCAAAAGAGCCGAAGGACAAAGTGAGTGAAGATAAGGATATCTGTTCATAACTGCACAGTAGGCCTACCTACTGTTTTAGGTATAATGACCTGCTGTAACCTCATGAAATAAAAGATGTGTATGTACTTACCTTATTCCCATGACCATTCCCATGGCATGGTCTTCCTTTAATAACTTCTTCTAAAATTGTTCTCTGCTTTGAAGTTATGGAGAAAGAAATGTCCTTTCAGTATTCAAATAATCACTGACAGTTAGTGTTCTTGTCCTAGACGTTCCAAAGAGGACTTAGTCCATTTCCTCTCAGTGCATTTCACAAAAATCCCCAGTTGTTTAAATGGGAAAATGCAGATGGTTGGAGGGCACCACTGGCAGGTCCTACTTCTTTACTTTCCCTCTGTTGTTTCTGTCTGTCTGTCTTTCTTATTTTTTTCCTTACACTAAATGATTATGACCATTATTTTGTCAAATAAATGAACCAGGGGTAAAAATTTTGAAGAATTGATTTTGAGCTTATATGATGCTTTAGTCTGCTGGAGTAGACTCTATAAAACGAAAAGTAGCTAAAGCAAGGTAGCATTTTGGATTTAATAGATAATGATTTGTTGGTTTTTACAATAAGGAAAGAAGAAAAACTAAAAGATTATCACCAGTGCAAAAATTGTAATGACCGATCCCTCAAGTTACTAAAAAATTGTAGGAATTCAAGGTCATAAAGATATTTCCTGCTTTTTATAACTCAAGTTAGATTCGAAATAGTTTAGCCAAGTGCAGATACCTATAAAATACCCGAACCTGTGTTAAAACATATTACTTTGTAGTTTTTTTTACAATTAGGCAAGCACAAAAACTAAAAGATAATCTCACCCTATTTCTCTTTTGCTGTTTTCTGTCAATTTTGGACTTTATCTTTTGCTTATCACTAAGCATAAAAACAATACAAAAAGTGTAACGACCGACTGCCCAAAATACTGAAAAGTGTGGGATTTCAAAGTCATTAAGACACTTCCTGCTTTTTATAACATTACAGTTAGATTCGACAGAGTTTAGCCGAGCACAGATACCTATGAAATACCAGAACCTGTGTTAATACATAATAATTTGTTGGTTTTTACAAATAGGCATGAACAAAAACTAAAAGATAATCTCACCCTATTTCTCTTTTGCTGTCTTCTGTCAATTTTGGACTTTATCTTTTGCTTATCACTTCTCTTATATTTTCTTTTCAGAATATTTTCCAGAATCTTCTGCCTCTGATCGATGAAGATAACAAGGCCAACTGGTCTTTGCTGACGTTATGGGCTGCCCTGGCCAATGCTATTCCTGTAAGAGCTTGGAATTACGTGTATTACTTTTGCACAACGTTCACAATGTATTTTATATTTAGATTAAGTTTAGTTATTGTCTCCAGAGCTTTGGGAGTGACTGCCAAAATGTAATGGAATGAAAATTGGAGTAATGACAAATTTTCCTTATTTTCCAAAGTGAAAGTGACTTTCTGGTACCGTTACCGGTTCATGAGTGAAAGTGAAAAGTTACAAAGAAGTAATTCGATTAATGATGGCTTAGTGGTTAGTGAACCTTTTTTTTCTCAAAGTTAGCCAGACTATGAATCGATTTAGCAAAGTAGCAAGGTTCAATAAGGTTCAAATTAGACTATGAATCAGAATATTTCTTGTGCTTCTTAGAGTGTATATGTGTCATGACGCGGTGGAATCAGGCGCTCGTCTATTTTGGGGCATATGGAGTTATTGGTATAATCTTAAAGCTTTTCCATTTTCCTGGTTTTTGTTGAAAACAATCTCTCTCAGATATTAGATACAAGTCAGGATATTGGTGACTGAAGGAGGTGGAGTGGCCTGGTTTCAGAGGTAAAATTACCGAGAAAATGGCCGCTAAAGTTGAGTTATTTCTTAAGCTTGATAGCCCGTGTATACTGAAAATTTACATCTCTTATGCTTTAATTAAACGTTTTTCAGCACAATCCATGAAAGGTATTGAACCAAAAAACAAAACTTCTCTAAAAATTCCCAAACCAGCGAAAAAATGCCAGTTTCTTCACTTTGACTATTTTAACGAGCGCCTGATTTCACCAAGCTGCCTCACATATAGTTTCATCTTTGCCCTGCTCACTGTAGGATTTCTGAGTGCCTTTATAGAGTACTATACTTTATTCAGCTGGAATAATCATACAGATGGTAGTATGCATGCTGTCTTTCCCTCACCTTTTCTCTTAGTCTTTGGTGCATGACTCAAAATTTTTGTGGTCTCTTTTCCATTTTTAGACTTACCAATCTACTTTTCTTTCAGTTGTCATTCTGGGTACTCACTTTTGTGTATCAGGATAAAAAAGTTCTGGGTAAAGTGCAGCGAGAAATCGATGCAGCTCTCAAAGATGGCCGGCCAAGTATGTTTTTGCTTCACGTTTCTTGGCTATCTCATTCTAGAAGCTAGAAGTAAACAATTGAATTATTTTTGCTGTTACAAAACTATGTTTTGAACTGTTTTTAAAAACAATTCGTTCTTACTTTTGTTTGTCTTGTAATTAGCAAATTTTTCTTGAAAGCGTAATTCAGTTTAGCTGTTATGGATTAGATGTTGTGTTTCTCCAGTCAGTGCAGTAGAGCCTTAAAAAACGTTTATTTTTTAATTGGAAGTTTGAAGTGTTCCTCCTATATTCTCTTTCGATTAGAGGCTGACATTACTTGACAGTGAAACTACTTTCCAAGGATTTTTTTCATTTGTAATGCAGATTTTGTTTAGCAATCTGAAGTGTGGATGAAGATTTGATTGACTGAAAAGCTAAATCTCATTCTCCACTGGAGCTGAAGAACAGCAGCAAATTCTAGAAAGTGATTTTTTATTTTACGTTTTAGAACTCTATGGGCTGAAGAATCTAACCTCTGTCCACCTTTGCCGTCAACAGTTACCGAGTCTGTGTTGAGTGAAATGCCGTACACTCTACGATGTGTCATGGAGGGCATCAGGCTCAGATCTCCAGGGATGATCCCTCGGCGTGTTGTTGAGCCCATCGTTGTCAAAGGCTACACAGTGCCCCCGGGCCATATGCTGTCTGTGTCACCTTACTGGGTGAACAGAAATCCTGATATTTACGAGGATCCAGAACTTTTCAACCCTGTAAGTATTGATACGAAGACTACAAGGGAAAAAATAAGTGTGCGCTTGGAGAGGCTCTGAATTGTCGGCAAAGCTATTTTTGAGCAATGGGGTGAAAAGGCCCAAAAATTCACACTGGTGAAAAATTTAGTTCCGTCGGAAAACACACATATTTGACCTTTTCTTAATAACATATTGAAAGGATGTTATAATATTTGAAGGCTTAATATTTTTTTTATTAGTTATTTTTGCAGCATGTTATATTTTGTCAAAGGAATATGCTAGAAATTAGGTTTTTCTCCAAATGCTGTTTTTACACCTTATGCAACAAAATGAGGCATATCTTTAACACTACTCAAGATATTTGAAAAATGTAAAAAACCAGCGTGTTCAGCATTTAATTGGATACAAGAAATTGCCCTTATGTCAATATATTCAAAATTTTTGACAACTGGGACCTTTCTCCAGGCACACACACACACATTTCAAAACCATTTTTGGCGTTTAATTGGATACAAGAAATTGCCCTTATGTCAATATATTCAAAATTTTTTACAACTGGGACCTTTCTCCAGGCACACACACACACATTTCAAAACCATTTTTGTCTGTAAAACAGTGGAAGACACTCTATGAAATAACATCTATACTTACAAGGAAATTGAAATCATACCTTCTGCATACTGCAACAAATAGCTTGATAATTACACCACTGATACATAAAGCCCCAGTTACACACAATGATAAATTGTACAAAAACTGGATAAACTATCATTCATGAGACAAATCGTCAGGTGTAACCACAAAATTGTACAAAGTTTGGACGATTGGACAATGGCTTGGAGATTCGGTAGAGAAATCAAACGCTGCTTGATATTTTCAGTGCGATTACGATCAGATTTGAGGGAGACGCGCTGCGACGTAGATTTATTTTAAAAATAATTATCGCAGGTAAAAACTGATTTCATATTCGGAATCAGCGTCTCAAAATAAGCAAAATTGCTCGCGGAGAATCTGATTTAATGCGTTATAATGTATATTTATAAATTCTATTATTTAGTTGATCATATAATATGGTGAATGTCACCCGGTGCGTTGCACATCTGCAGTCAAGTCAATGACTAGGAATCTACCTGATCGAAAGAAAACTGGACGATAGATTGGAACGTCTAAACAGACTACACAGCTCGATAAAACGAACAGTTCTCGAATACGACGAATCTGACAATTTATCGTTTCGGGTAACCGGGCCATTAGGATTAAGTGCAAACGATTGGAAACTTTCCAAATATGACACATGCTGGACTGGTTGCTTCCTCACAATTACAAAGTTCTGTCTACTCAATACCTATTTTTGAGAAATTTGACGTCAAATTTTTAAATTGTCAATAAGAACTCCAAATATTCAATTATATTCTTACGATTTTGATGGAGCAGATAGAACATTTACTTTCTGACCTCATGGTCTTAGTAACTCAAAATGGCCAACAATGTCAAATAGAACTTTGTAATGATGAGGTGTCGAGGTGTTAAATTTAAAGGAAAGCTTACTGGGTTTTTTTCTTGGAACTGAGACAAATTTTCTTTTGGCCTGTGAGCTATTTTTGGAATTGAATCTCATAGAAAAACATGTTATAGTTATTTGAAATTTGACTTATAACACATGTTATTAAGTGTGTATGTTTTATCTGTTATCTTTTTATTTATGTGCAGGATCGCTGGAGTGACTGGACTCCTGGTTCCATACCTGAAACATTCATTCCCTTTGGCGGTGGTCGCTACATGTGCCCGGGCAGGTAGATAAACACATGCTCATAATACAATGTCTTTACACATTAAATTTTATATGTTTCTTTTACATATTTATCACACTCAGGGGAAAGTTAATTCTGTGCCTTTCTCATTACTTTAAGTTTACTGAAGCAGACAATTTTTAGAAATTTATCTCATACTGTAGGCTACTAAAAAATAAGTTTACGCTGTGATTGTAATAAAAAAAAAAATTGAGGTCAGTGCTCTTCAAAGTTTGAAGCAATTGTATCTTGATTTTTCTTTCTTGTGTGGTCATAGTATAGGTTATTTGAAATAACCAGATTCTATGACAATATCAGAAGCAGTCTAACTCTTATCCTGTATGTCATTTTGCATTTTGTATAAACATATCAGGCAGAAAAGAAAAAAGCACAAGATTTATGTCAGTGGCCTTGAAAGATATCAGATGTAACTCACACCACAATAAGAAACGACTACACTTGCAACAATAACAGAAACTTGTCAGTTATTAATTCAGAAAATTCTATACATTTTATGTGTTACATTTACAGACTATACTTTTAGATACAGGGAGATCCATTTAATTAAACTGAACACAGTCAATCTGAAAACTGTGGTAATTTGAAAAAAAATGGAATTCCCATTTTTTTCTTTGCTATTTGAGTTTGAGCAATGTTTTATAATAATAATAAATGACATTTATATAGCGCTCAACCCCGATTAAAGTACACAGGCTCTGAGCGCTTTACAATACAGTACAATGTACAACAGTAACGTAAAACATGTTCTGACTAAAGAAGATTTTTCCTAATATTCATCTTATTAATTTAAAAACAGAAACGACTTCAGCTGACATTTGAATGAATCAAAAGATTTGATTTCTCTTAAAGTACTTGGTAAAGCATTCCAGATCTTGGGGCCTTGGTATTCAAATGCCCTTTCACTCATTGTTTTAAGTTTCATAGATGGTAAAATAAAAGTCTTTTTGTCAGCTGATGACCTTAAACTGCGAGTTGGAATGTACAGTCTTAACAGATTTGATAAATATGATGGTGCAAGTGCTGTAAAAGTCTTGCTGAAACTAAAACATGAAATATTCAGATTTATTTGCCTCTTTTCAGGTGGTTTGCCCTGATGGAAATTCATATGTTTGTGGCAATGTTCTTTCATACCTTTGACTGTCACTTGACGAAAGGCATTCCTGATTTTGTAAGTATTTTCAGTAAATGCAAAATTCATTATATCTATAACTTTAACAGTACTCTTTTTGTCTTGATGTGTAACCCTGGAATAACGATGGCCCTTTTTATAAAGCTGATCTATTTGAACTGGAAGGTAAGTACGCAAGCCCCATATAAAAGGCATAGCCCTTGACCTTCTTTAATTAATGGAACATTTCAGTGTTCCTTATATGGTGAATGACATAGAAAATTGCAAGTCAAAATTATAGTCCCCTATGAGTTTGCAAGTTATTTTGAGTTCGTAGCGCATCCCTCGGCCCAGATATTGATACATGAAATGAACGCTTACACGCGATGTGTTATTACTTGTTCCTCTGTGCTACTTTGCTTATTGCGGTACTGACTTCGTCGTGTTTTGCCCTTTGTTTGTTATTGTTTGATTGCTAATCATTTTTAATTTTCTCATTCTATCTTCTTTGAGAAAAGACGTGTTTTTGTATACTTTTTTTATCATCAGTTGCAGGTGTAAATCTTAGCTAATACCTTAGCCAAACCCCAAGTTTTGTTTTGCTGGACTGGATTAGTATTCGTATGATTATGGTTTTTGTTGGAGTAAAGAGAAGCTTATTGGCTCTATAGCAGTCATTTGATGCTGGGATTGAGCAATTAAGACTGACAGAAATGACTGAGGGAAAGAAAAGAAGTAGGACTTTCCAGCCCACCAGTGGCACTATTAGTCCAACCACCTATGGGTTTATGATAAGCTCACAATCACACCCTATGCACATAGCTCAGTAAAGCATAAGTTTGAAGCATATGTGTGAAGTTTACGTAGGATTGAAACACATGTATTTTGAAATGGAAGTGTTTCTGAGCTAATTTACATACCGCTCTTAGTCTTAGAAGTAGAAAGGGAATGTTTATGTTAAGATTTTATAAGAACACATATTGACTCAATATCTGCCATTTAAATGGCTCTTTAGCTGCAGGACTCCAAAAATCCTCGGCTCAATGAATAAGAAAAAAAAAAAGAAAGATTCACTAATAGTTTCCTCTGACCACTTGCAATAAAAAGATTTGCCATTAGTGGCAGTGTATCTGAAAATCAGACTTTGAACTGAAAAGTGTGAAACTACATATGCCTTTTCTTTTCAATAGCTGGCTCATCACCTCTGCTGTGGCTTTCTTTAGAGGCTCTTTTATTCTGAGTAAATGCATCAGATGGACAGACAGACCGTTTTGTATTTGATATTGACTTTGGCCCTGAGCTAGTGTTTCAGCCCAATGACACCATACCATGTACATTCTCTGCTTTCAGTGTAAACTTCACCTTGTGGGCTCCCAGCAACCACTCCAGAACTGTCCTGTGACATTGAAACCCAGAGTGATAAACTAGACTGTTGCGTGCACAGGTGTTACCAGGTATCTGTGTCCGTCCCACCCCACCACATGAAAGTGATAATGACATGAGGTTTGAGTCAAAAGTACTTCGATAGAATAACTGTACTTTCGTTCAGAGATACAGCAATACAGACAGAAGCAACCGAGGGAAAGAACAGATGTAGGACCTACCTACCAGTACCCACTGCATCATCATCCAACCATCTACCCGCACTGAACACACGCTGGCGTTCTGTGGCACAAATTTAGCAGTTAGTTAAGCCCAAGGTGTACGCATCCTGTAAGGCTCTATGGAGCAGGCCTCATTTTACTTCAGGAGGAAGCACATGGTCCCGATATTGTAATTCAGTTGCAGAAAAAAAACAACCAAAACAGAACAGCAGAGAGATGATAAAGAACTACAGAAATAGGACTTTCCTGTCTCACCCTTCAATTACTCGCTCATTCTAAGAGAAGAAAGTCTCATACAATAAAACAGTTGCCCTCATGGTCACACATACAAACACTGTGGAATGAATATTGTTTGATCATAACTTTATATGGTTATGACAAAAAAATTAACATCCATACTGAAGAGGAAAAGGTGAAGGTTGTAAAAACTCTTGAAATTCATAAATTTAGGAAAGGATCCAAACCCAGGTTACCTGTTCCGAATTCCAATGTCTTTCCACTTTGTTTGATTACATCTCACACTTTGAAACAAAACATTCACGTTATATTTCTCATATAAATTTTTTTATATAATTCTCTGACTTTACAAAAGGAAATTAGTTATTTCGTTTTCCTTTGCACGTGAGCTTTATTGTTGATATATTCACTTTTTTTTTTTTACGCATTAGGTCCTCATATCAGATGTATCGTCCACTCAGCAGATAAACTGCTACTTTTGTTACTATCAAAGAGATACTTTTACTACCCTCTACTTTTACTACTACTACTGCTATTAATAATCATTGTGTAAATACAATTGTTATTATTAATTATTATTATTAGTCACCAAAAGTAAATGCATTGTTTGTGTTTGTCTCAAGAATTTGAAAATGGAAAGGAAAAAATAGCTTTAATAATGTGGTTGCAAGCACATCTAGTGCCTTGTGTAGACTGTCTGGCACTGTTCAGTTCAAATATCAGATAGGATGTCAGTCACAGAGGTACATACTCACATACACATGAACCTTTCTTTGCTGTTTTACTTCTCTGGATTCGAATATTTTACGTAGTGCTGTAGTGAATGGACTTTTCGTTTTAGATGTGTATTTACTTCATTGACTGCTATTTATAAATGTGCGGATAGATTTTCTGTTTATGGTTTGAGTGTAGCTGCACTACTTTTAAAAAATGATTTTCACGACTTCCACAAACAAAGAGTTTGATATACAAGATATGTTTGTATACATTTATTTTAAATTCCGTATCTTTATTGTTGTCGAAGCAGTTCGATGAGTGTTGAACTTACAATATTGTTGTTACCTTTATTTACAACATTGTACTGGTATTTGAGATTTTGTTTATGTCTGGAATGAGACTTGTGCTATTACACATGATTTACACCTTGAATATGGGTGGTTGGGGGGTGCTTTGGAGTGGTTTGTTTTTAGATCCTTTTTCCCTATCTAACGTCTATCGTACTTATCTATCCTCCTTTTATTTTTATGCTGTTACTAGATACTGTCTAGTAACAGCTCTACTCTAATCTTCTGCCCTTATACTACTTATTTGAGTTGCAAATGCCATAAAACTTTTGGTATATAACTAAAACTAAAACAACTTGAATACGAGACAAATGTTTGACCTGTGGGGTTCAACATCAGGAAAAAAAAAGTAGGTTGTATATGTAGAATTTCTTTGTTTATGGACTAGATGCATTACATGTACTACTGGTAGACTTTTATATAATGTGTAAATGGTATGTCCTCAGTAGAATTTCAAATGGCCTGCTGGGAAGGGTTGCGTTGTTTTTTGTGATAATTGTATATATATATATATGACCCTGATAATGTTGCTGATAATATAAGGACAGTAGGAAAATGTAGATTGAAGACCTCTTCAACTTTTGGTCACATTACCATGACAAATGTTCTGTTTTGTTTTTGTTATGTTTTGTAGTGATACATAAAAGAAAAAGTCTTGAGACTGGGCAAAATGACGGACAAAAGTTACCGTAGTATAAGAAAAGCTGGTTTTCTGTGAGCAACTTCAATCTCAATTCCATGACACTTTTCTTAACTTTGGTTTTACATGTTTCTATCGGAAAAGTCTGTTGTCCCTTCATGCACTTTTACTTTTAGCTTTTCAAATGATAGCCGATCCCTATGGATTCAGTGTGAGAGTGAGATGGTGTGAATCCAAAGAGGTTATACATAGTATTAGACTGTGCGGCAGTGATGTCAAGTGTGTCGGCCCCACCAGGGCAGAGCTACTGACTGAATTTGTCATTAGGCCATTTCCAAAGGGGGGATATTAGCATGTTCTTGTGCACAGTAAAATTGTAAGTGGGCTGATTCATCAATGTCATGCTCGTACTGTGCTGGAACATCATAGGGGGAATTGCTGCTTTTTCTTTCAACATTCTTACTATCATCATCTTTTTTCCTCTACTTCTTTTGTACGTTTGTCACTCTCTTGTGAATTGCTATTTCGGGGTGCCTTGATAGTCGAAGCAGACTTTGTGCTGTTGAGGCTAGAGAGGTGAGCAGAGTAAGCCTGATTCGCCGTTTGGATTTCTCTGTTGACATCCACCTCTTGGCGCTCAAATGATAGAACTTTTAATTCTAAAGCAGCAAAATGTGTTTGACACATCCATAATTTGGTTAACGGATAACCAGAAAATTAAAGAGATACGAGTCGCGGAATGGTAAATTGTACGAGCTATCCGTAATTTTGAGTTTTCTATGTTTGTGCTATCTGTGCCCGACTGTATGAACCTGTCATATTAGTACATAATGTAATCATATTGATAATAATATATAACATTTATATAGCGTATTTCCAAAAAAAGTAGCTCAATGCGCTTTACATTGGAATACCCATTTTTCAAAAACCTTTCTTACTACTTCCTTTCTTCTCATGCAATATACATTAATGCACACACGCACACGCACACACACACACACACACACTATTTTCGTCCAGACATAGGAACAGAACAACTATAATGAAAGATAACGTTAAAAGCTAATGAAGGATAGGCCTGTAGGAACAGAAAATGTTTAAGATGTCTTCTGAAGCTATCAAGTGTTTTTGTTTGTCTTAGTTTCATGGGTAATCTGTTCCACATAAATGGACCAAGATATGTACAGAGCTCACTAATTGAAGTACATTTCAATATTGATTATAATACAGAATGATTTCCAGAGAGATAAAGGCTATCTGTTCTAATTTTTAAAAAAATTAAAGATGAGCATTTTATTTCACATATTTTGTAATAGTTACTTAATATTGTTGAAACACTGATTTTGTTATTTACATCAATCAAAAGGGTATTATCCAGCCATGTCTACTGTACATATAGATATAAAAATTGTATGTTTGGTGATGTGAATGTTAATTGCTGAAATACTTTTATAGAAAGTGCACTTCACTTCCACTAGAGTGTGGATCTGCCAGACTATAAGAAAGGCAGAGAGACAGAGAAGTGAAATGCATTCAAACAACCTTGACTGGGACAAATACAATATGGCCAATTTAAGGCAGATATGTTACACAACTTTTATTGATTATAATGTTACTATCATGGTTTTGTAAAAAAAAAAATTTTTGGGGGGTTGCATTTCTATAAATAGCTTTAATCTTTATCGCTAAGAGTTGTTTGCTTTAGTAAAAGTTTTACGGGGCTCGCAACTGCATAAGGATTATGAGTGCCCCTGACAAAGAGCGTTTATTATTATTACACTTCGCTGTTTTTAAACTATTTTCTTTGTTGTGCTTTTTTGATTGTATTTTTTTTCCTATTTTAATCAATGCTCAATAATTAAGAGCTTTCAATGTGCCACACGCACATTTTTCCCGGTGTTATATGTTATGTTTATGGAAAGAAAAAGTCTATGCAAATAATAAAAAGTTTTATGCAGATCCTTGCATTGTTGTATTTTTTCATATATGGACTAAAATATTACTCTTTGACTTTGACAACTGTACTTTGTAGTTGGAGCCTATTGTTTTGTTTCAAAAGACAATTTTTAAAATTATACTGCCTGCTAAAAGTGATATGCGAGGTGTGCTGACAAAAAGAATTACTTCTCGCAATCCACGAAAGGAAAAATTGGCAAAAAATAAAAGAGGTACTGATATGTAGATTTTCATCAGCTGATGCCATTTTCAGTGGTTTTAACTCTTTCCGGACGTAGTTTTTTTTTGGTCTAGACGATTAATTAACTCGTGGCTCGATTTGGAATGCAGGTGGCGTACAAAATAACTTCATAGAAGCATAACCATCACTCAAAACGTAACATATGATATATCAAATTGATTGAAGGAGGAATACATCCCAATATGAAACAAGGATCAATTTTGAACATAAGTATGCATTAGAATTTAGAAGGGTTAGAAACGGCGATGGTGATGAGAAAAATAAATTTTGACGGAAAAAATTACATTCACCAAAACATGTGAAAGCAAATCAGCCTAGCTATCTTATATTATACAGGCTAAGAGCATAATCCATAAATTTCTTCTGAATGCGCAGCTTTTTATTTGAAAGCAATATTCCTATTTTTGTTTGAGTTATGAAATTTATACTGAGTCCAGTTACATCGTTTTGATGATGCAAGACCGCAAGAACTAATTCACTCGTTTTTCCCCAAACCCACGCTTTGAAAAGGGAAACTTGATGTTTTCGTTTTCTAAATCCTTTCAGAGTTTTTCAATAGCAATATAAAGTAATTATAAATGACGGATCGTGTTAAAACGAAACAAGGCACCCTGTCACAGCCGATATATCGGCAATACGCCCGGAAAGAGTTAACAAATATTATGTCATACTTAAATTGTACAAACTTAGCCTATAAAGTTGATGTATTTATCTATTTCCATCAGGCTGAAATCTGAGAAGTAACTTGTTTTATGAGTACACCTCACATATGACAAGACTCATTTTTGCAAGCTGATTGACATTTGACTTGCTTGTTTAATTTTATACTGCCTCTGAGCCTGAGAATAAACTGTATCTTTGGTGAAGATTTATCTATCTTTAATGTCAGAAAGTAAACTTCTGGTGGATTACCATAAAGCACACAGTTATCATTAGAGCAATCCAAAAGTAAATAATTTTCAAGACACCACTGGAAATGAGGACTGATCAATACAGATGATTCTAACATTAACGTATGCCCAAAAAGTAATTTTCAAGATTCAGATTTAAGTCTTTCCTTTCCTGTTCACCGATTCAGACTGCCTAAACTTTATTTTAAAATGTTGTTATATCATGTTGGAGCAAAGATTGAATGCTATAAGATGCTACCTCTAATTTACATGCTCAGTGATGCTGATGGCAACATCTATTTTGTTGATCTGAAGAAACTTTTTTGGGGATGGGCATATCTTGTATACAAAGAGTAGCAGTGGTAACTAAGATAATTAAAACAGAATATGTATTTGAGAAACGAAACAAAAGTTGTTTTTTTCAGTACCAGCAGCAACATCTATATATAACTGCATTAGATTGCAGAGGACACATATTATATTTTTCAAAATCAAAGCTTCACTTTTAACTACCATTTCAAAAGTTCGTTTTCAGCAACTGAAGGCAATTTGAATATAGAGCACGACAAATAAAATCTTGTCTAGCAACAGAGTGTCCCACCTGCAAGATGTGATCTTGTTCCATATTTGAATCTAAAAAACCATGAGTTCTCAACCAGTTTTGATTATGAAAGACATCGCTTAGCTTGTCACTCTATGTCAATACAATAAAAGAAGTTGAAAATCAATCCAAGACACAAATAGAGAAATGAAAATTGTTTATTTGCACCCTTCCTTACAATAACATTAATGAAGCATATCCAATCCATTATTTCAGAAGCCAGTTCACACATTAAAAAATTCTAAAACACATGAATCAAACCGCAGGCTTCTCAGATACTAATCTTCGTTTCTCATTCATATTTAATTTACACATGTGCTCTCTTATTCAAAACCCAATTTATAGTCTCAAACATCCAAATTAAACTATTCCAGTCTCACACCTTCTTTCTCCCTTGCATTCAGATGATGAAGGTCTCATTCTACGAAATAAGGGCATCATTAATAATGTTAATGGTGAAAATGGTAATGAAATCGTGATGATATTTACAAAATGTGCAACCTCAAACCACACACACCAACTTCAGAAGCAGAAGAGGTGATAGTTCCAATGGATGCTTTCAATATTTTTTCAGGGATTTCCGTATAAGAGCCATTCTCTGAAAAAGACAGAAAAGAACATGGTTGAGATCTGAAAAAAGTAGATATTCATCAAAGGAATATTAATACTGTCAGACCCTGTTATACCGCCTATCTTGGGACTAGTATGAAGTTGGCTGTACAGCGGAGCTGGCGGTATAAAGGGAAAGTACCAATTGCCATCTTTGACTAATGGTAGACTGATAGAGACTAGAGACAAACTGTGGCCAGCTTGCCTCACCGAGGTCTGTCTTTCTTTCTGTGATTCTATTTACAACGAAACAATAAACACACTCTAACAAAGGAGAACTCAAGCAAACAGTTATATGACATGGGTACTTTTAGTTATATTTTTAAGCTGAGTTCAGGATGAAAATAAAGTTTAAACAAATAAGGCTTTAGCTTAAATTAATAGTAAAAAAGGTTGAGCTCATACATAATATAAGTTGCCTCTAGAGTGCCGACTCACTGTCATGACATTTCAATTACTTCACCTCCTTCATTGCCATGGGGTGTGCATTCCTACTGTTAGCACTGACGATTTTCAGTTAAGCTCATTATTTAGACAGGAGCCTCATCAAAGTGTTAGCAAACTTGCTGTCTGATTGTTGCCCACTGACGACATATTCAGACCTTGGAGCTTTGATAGTGTTATGTCCCTCACCCCCATATTCCCCCAAAATCCCATAAATTCGAACAGCTTGTAAATCTAAGTTTTAAAAAAGTGAAATATGCTGCCTTTCTTCAGTCATTATGAAGTTTGCGTTTTAAGGAGAGCATGATTTAATCTGCAAGACAAGAACATGTGTTTATCGATCACTTGCAAGCCTAGTATTGAGGTGATACTAGCAAATTTGGTATGTGTATTTTTTAATTCACAATACAAATCGAAACTGCGCTAGTGGCTGAATCTCTTAACAGAAGAACATGTAGCATCTAAAAGGCAACCAGGAATGGCAAATTTTTGCGAACTTACATGGTACAGCACAAAGTTAAAAATAATGCATTTTTGTGATGTACCAGAGCATCGTAAGGCAACTAAGAGGGTTTCATGTTTTTCAAGATCCAGGCAGCTTCTAAGCTACCTTGTACTGAATGAGTATTCTCACCTGTTTGTGAGCCTCTGTGGTCACAGACTTCTTGTAAGGCCGGATTTCCTCAGAACCAAATCCAGGTATTTGCATGTTCCAGCAACGCTCTGTTTTGAAGAGTTGAAAGAAACAATAAATAAAGTGCTTAATGAATTTATACAGTCTTTTCATAAACAATGGGATGAGCAAATAATCTACAAAGGCCATATTCTGCTGTTATTGTGTAAGAGTGTAAGAGAAAGGCGGAAACCACAGGATAACTTCTTTACAAGAACTTAGGTATTAAAATAGTTTCATAGCTGTCAACTTTTCAAAATCAGTAAAACAAAACACAATCACCACATTCTTATTACTTTTTTGTTACTCAATCGAAACTCCAATAGCATATCTTTCCCCCCCCCCCCCCCCCCATCCCCATACCCTTTTCTGCATTCAATAAATTTAAGCTATCCAAAGTTCCAAGCAGACCTGCAACAAAAGATCTGTCCACTTGATAGTGGGCTATATAGATCTAACTATTATTTGTAAATCCAGTCTTGAAATTTCTTAATTTTTCTTCGGCATTGGTAAGTCTGTAAGGAGGAAACTAGAAAACAAAGAAAGCATATTTCTTTATATTAAAATGGGCTGCCATACTCAAACCCTCAAAATTGTATGAAATGTTTTTTTACGCACCAGTACTGGTTGGAAACAAGGCATTAAAAAAAAGCCTCTACCAAATCCTAAATCAGAAATGTAAAAATGAGCACTTTGTAGTGATGGAAAATTTATTGAACAATAAAATCTCATCTCAATTAATTCACATGGTATAGGTCCATGCATGATTAACTTGAAACCTTTATCATTTATACCACTTTTATCAGTAAGCCTTGGATAACAAGAGTTTTTGTCGTTACCGTAAAGAAAAATCAGTTATTATATTGTAATCCGTTTCAAACTTCAAACTCAAATCCCTCTCACTTTGCGTAACAAACCAGTGTATGATATTGATAAAAAGCTTTAAAACTTCATACGCCTGGTATAAGAAATAAATCACTCTCAAAAGTGAGGCATTTATGTTTTTTGCCCCTTCTACAAAAAAACAAAAGTATTTATTACTTTTTGATAAACTTAAAACACTTCACAACTAACATGACAACACACATGGGTAAAAATAAAGCAAATCCCCTCATCATGGGGATTCAACCCCACTGTTTTCTGTTTATAATAGACAAAGCTCTCTCTCTCTCTCTCTTTCTTCTGGCACTGTGGCGTTATAAACGGTCAGTGATGCCGACAGCACACAGGAACTCAACACTTGTCCAGGGGTCCTTAAAAAGTGCTGCAAGTGGGTTACTGAAATGTCCAAGCAGATGGGTTCTTGCACAATAGTTGGCGGGACATCTCAGGAACACATGGTCCATAGACAAAGCTGTGACCACCTGGATGCGCAGTAGGTTCATGAGATTAAAAAAAGGGGGATTATACTTTACTTTAACCTGCAAATGTGTGCCCCACCCACCTAAGTAGAGCTGGACATCCTTAGCCTCCAGCGTATTTGACCGTCGGTGCTTGGCCAGCTGGCACGAAGATGAAACAACATTCTCAATGAAATCATCAGCCACCTGCAGCAAAACCTGTGGAAACATAAAATAATACAATACACTTGTTAAAGACAAAGAAAGAGTTGCTTTCCTGACCTTCAGGGAAGAAAATTAAACCCTCAAATAAATTATAAATATAAAGGCTGGATCTTTGTTCAGGACAAAGAAAGAGTTACTTTCCTGACCTTCAGGGAAGAAAAGTAAACCCTCAAATAAATTATAAATATTAAGGCTGGATCTCAATAAATAAGAATGGAAAAAGAGCCAGCTTATTTGGCTGGCTGGCTGGCAAAAGAGCAAATTATTAACTAAGCTCTTTATTTAAAATCTGGTTATGTTGACTTTCACTATGGCAGTCACACTAACAGGTATCATCCTTTTCTCTTTCAATATAAGCCTTTTGGACCACAATTATCTCTACATTTATAACATCTGCAGATGGGACTAAGACCAGTGTTGTCTTTAGCATTGTCTGCAATCTATTCTCTTCCTCCATTTTTTTTTTCTTCCAGTGATACACTTGGTTATAACTGAGTTCCATTGCCTTTTATTTCAGTAAACATCACAGAACAACAGAGCTTGCACAAAGTAGTTCTTCTCAAAGGACAGATCCTTATTTCAGAAGAATAAAAATATTTCAAAAGATTCACATTGCTTGAACATTTTGTATTTTATTAAGGTGAAATTGGAGCATTCTGTAAAAAGTTACAGCACTTTAACACTTTGCCGCCTCATCTCGACGATTGGCGATGTTTTTCCACCCAGTTTCTTTGGATGTCCCCCAAAATGTGGTGGCAAAGTGATAACTCCAACTGGTATGAGATCGGAGGATATAATTTTTCATAACAATAGAAATTGTTGTGGAGTCACATGGCAAAGGACAAAGAAGACAAAACTAGAACTGATCATAGGCCAACCAGTAGATGGAAATAGCCCCCCCCCCCCCCCCCCCCCCCTACCCGTGACTGCTATGTGAATTAAAACTTCAATTTATTTTCCATCTTTAACAATTTGTATTACACTTTTATCACATTGTTTGCTGTTGTATACATTTTTTCTCAATGTTGTTTAACTCATTGTAGAGTTATGTTCCTTTTCGGGGGTGTAATGGGGAGTCAACTTTAGTGGAAATGAGTACAGGAGTTTAATAAAAACCCAGGATCCTGTCTCCTTTTCATGAGTTTTGAGCTTTGTTAAATCCTTCATCTAAAAAGCCATGTTTTCTGTTCCACCAAATACAAACTATTTTTGTTAAGCCAAAGTTGTATGCACCTAACCAAAACTTTATGTATTGCTTATTTAACATCAATTTAAAAAATAACACAAGTAACCCTTCAGTAATCCTCACATCTTCAACATCATCGTCCATCTGCTCCAACTGGTCAACTTCCTTCACCAGCTCCCGCAGCCGCGTCCTGTCCAACACTCCTCTCGAGTCGGTAGCTGATGACCCCAGGGTTGCGCTCGCCGAAGCCTGAGAGGATGCTGAGGAGGGAGTCTGACGAGATGTGCTTGAATTTTCCGAGACCTTGTTGCTGTTAATCATCTGGAAGAATGTATTATTTCATTAATTTAAATAACAATAGTAATAATGAGGTGCATTTTAAAAGCGCATACTCCAGTGTACACACAGCTCTAGGCACTTTATATCAATTAAAGTACAAAACAATAACTGTGAAAAAGTGCATACATGTACACACTCAAACACCCTTAATCACACACACACACTCTTTCTCTTATCACACACGCACACAATGAAAACAATATAAAAATGCTGAAAAATGGCAAACGGATTGGGGAATTACAATTACATGCAAATTCAGTTAAGTACAGCATGGAAAAAGGTATTAACCCTTCAGGTCAAATGGGGAGTTGTAGGTTCTGGTTCATATTTCAAGTACTTTACTAAAAATGATGCGCCTACCAAGAATTGTATCTGATAAAAAAATTAATTAGATCAATCCCTACTGAAAACAGATTTAAAAACACCCCAAAACAAACAAACAAACAAGTAAAATTGGTGTAATGAAAAAAAAAGTTCAGAAAGGCCACACAAAAAACATCCTTATTAATCAAATACAAATCTTTCAATGATGTTAAAATAAACAACAACATCCCTAATCAAATCCAAACAATTCAATAACGCTAAAAAAACAAAAACAACTTACATTTCCCACCGGTACAATAATCTGTTCTGGCTGGGTGGGCCGAGCCACGATCGAGCTGGAGCTGCTGGTGACAGCGATGGGCGAGCTGGAAGGTCCATTGTTCAAGACTGTGGTTGTGTGAGAGCTGACCAGGGATGGACTGGGGCTCGGAGTGCCGGGCAAGCCATTGGGCGTCGAGTTCATGTTGTGATTGGCTTACTCGCTGTCAAAGGAAATAACATAATAATTTATTTACAATGCCTTAAGAATTCTATTTGATCTCTCTCTCTTTTTAGAGCTCACACACATAAACTCTCAACCTCTCTCTTTCCCACATCTCTTGTAATCTGCTCATCATCACAGCTGAAGTAACAGTTCATTCAAGATCCCTATTACTAATTATAATAATAGGCTCACATTCAATGCTTAATAAAAATAGTAATAATATGATATTAAACTGTCACATGATGTCAAAATCCTGATTTAAAATGTCAAACTGTGGTCAAAGCTATCTCACTTTTTACCAACTGTTCGCACAAAATGATACAGACAATGCTACCTACATCTAAGTAGTTGCTTTCATATTCTTAAAAACATTGGTTCGAAGAGGCAAAGCAGAAGTTTAATACATAAAGTGTGCTAATATTGTCCAGCTTCGAACCCGTTCTTATCATGGAGATAGAAGATAATTTGACTGACCATTGATTCGAATGGGCGTCCCTTCAAACCAGTGTTGTAAACTCTCTCTGATACTCAAGATATTATCAATCTTAGATAGTATTAAACAAAATAACTTGACTGAATGACAGCTGTCATAGTAGTTCTACAAAGTCGAGTAGTGAAGTTGTAGTGAAAGTGTGGTATCTGCTTTCTTGCCTTTGATGTTGTTCCCCATAATTTGATGTTTGGCAAAAAGGTTTGAAATTTTGGTGGAAATAATTAATTTACGATGATAGTTTTAATGAATGGCCACATCATCTAAAGCCAAAATTACGTCTGTTAGAAGTTTCAAAGGCAGAGCATCCATGCGCGAGTGTGAAAGTAAAGATAAATTGTTACTTTCATTCCCGCACAGGATGCACAACTTTTGGGGGGGTCAATCTGCAAGGGTTTTTTCCTTGGTGCAGATCACGCATGCCATGGCCATTCAAACCTAATTGTAAAACATCAATCAAAATCAAATCATGGAGAAAAACGGGCGCATGAAACCCCAGACCCTAGGATTTCGTGTAAAGCAGAAAAATTACAATGCAATTAGGCTTAGCATAAGCATGTAGTTTAATAAAAACTAACAAATATTTGAAAAACGAATAATTTGCGAAGAAAAAAGTCGGTGTTCGTGTGAAGTAGAGACAAATGTGAATAAGAGTGGTGGCGACCTATTTGTTTGTTTTACTATGGCACTCAGTCTTCCTTGTCTGATACATTTCATTGTGTTTTAACTTTGCACAAAACCATAATAATAAAAAAAAAAACTAACAAGAAAAAATCCCACCACCAGAACACCCCCAGATTGTCTTTTTTTTTTTAAACCTCAGGCAAGGAATGCATACTTGGACCTGAAACTCCCCTGATTGGTCCAAAGCGATAGTTCGGACAAGAACAATCAAATATTTTATTTTAACCATTTAACGCCCAGAGCGGCGTTCCGTGGAGCCATTCGGTGCACACCTAGAGCAGCGCTGCGCTGAGTTTCAATCACCGACCACGCAACACTGCAGTAGTATGCATTTCAATGAATTCTAGGAAGAAGGTCCCATTAGAATTGACTGAAATGGAAGCTCAGCTATTAAGTGAAAGTTGAGCTGTCCATATTTTTTTGAGTTTTTGAATGGTCAAGATTGACTCAGAATTAGTGCGTTTGAATATCTAAAGTGAATATGATGAAACGGAGGGTGCGATGGAGTTGAAAGTTGGGCAAATCCAAGGAATCTTTGATTTATAATAAAAATTCAACCCGTGAAGTGATCTCGACATAACACGATAATCCGGTTTTGGCCCCCAATGATTATTATGAGTCTGTACGGAGTATGGGTTTCGGCTCCACTGAGCGTTTTCAATCTAAACGATTACTTCTGGTTTGAAATGATTACTTTTCACTGCACATGCAGATATGAAGTTTGACGTGCCGATCATTGGGGCTTTGGGGCTAAAGTCGGAGTGTAGTAGATCTACAGTAATAAAGGAGCTGATCCAACTTTGCGTACGTACCCCAACTCTACTTTTCAGTTAACTTATTTCTGTTGATGTTGAAGCATTGCAACCAATGTTTCTCTCAGTTTTGTTTACACAAGTGTTGTGGTGCACTCTTGGACCCCTAATTCTTCTCTAAATGCTGAGGGTATATATCAGCATTTCCCTGTTTAGCACAAGTGGTCCATCCGTCAGTTGTACAAGAAATGTTGTACAGGGGAGGGAGACAGTGGAGGTTCACACGAATCAGATAAAAGAGGGTGCGCATGCACACATAAAGCAACATTTTAGAAAAATTTACCGCACTACACCTCCGCAGCCAATTTTGAGAGCCATTTGTCTGAAGTGCTCTGGAGGAACTGGAACTTGAAGGGGAATTTATTCTAACATTTTTTCCAAGACCTCATGTCCATCTCGACTGGACCCCCTTGAACGAGTGCCCAGAGATCAGTTTTCGAAATGTGGGTGTCTCAGGAGGAGTATGCGAACATTTCGCCAGCTCAGGGGGCTGCTGTTTCTCCTGCCCCACTGCATCAAGGCTATGTGTACGGCCCTCCACTTCACATAATAAGCTAGGCTTTGTAGGCAGCACATAAACTATCAAACCGGACACTACAAGTGGACAAACTTAAACTCAGGAAGCGCGCAGGCCCTTTATAAAGGGCATGAGCCGTGCTACCCGGGAAGCGCACAGGCCCTATATATTGGGATGGCCTACTTCGATAGGGAAGTGTGCAGCTATAGGGCATAGACGCTGACATTTTTCAAGTTATCTTGACCTCTGAGAGCGTCTCTTGGCCAAAGATCGTACTTAACAAAATAGTTAACTCAGCCAAAAACGTGTCCGCAGAAGTCCGCACATAGGGTTCAGATGACGCTGCAGTCTTTGTTTTGAAGCCCTCTTTCGTTTCACCAGAAGAAGATAGGAATTCAGCACAGTTTGTTAGTTTCACTTTTATTATAGGCCGTCGTTATTCGGACTCGAGTCCGAATAACATTTTTTCATATTCGGACTCGAGTCCGAATAAAAAAATTTCTTATTCGGACTCCTGTCCGAATATGAAAAAATGTTATTCGGACTCGGGTCCGGAAAAAAGGAAATGCCTTTACTCCTCAAGAAAACAATTAGAACAAACATGCAACTATTACCGAATGGCATCATGCAGAAGAGTTAACGCTCAGATGCTACTGGATCGGTAACAACAACAACAACAACGACTCGAGTCCGAATAAAAAAATGGCCGGCACTATTTCTCCGAACGTGCAGGAAAATAAAGCTGGGCACTATTTCTCCGAACACTCTGAAATCACATCCTTCCCCGCAAATTTTGGATATTATATAGAGTATAGGCCTACCAAAGATTGTTTGTATACAATATGGTTCAATCGGTCCAAAAATAATGTCCGCAGTAAATATTTATATAAAGAAATGCTACAGTTCCAAACAGTTTTTCGCTACAGATATGACGTGTTGCCTATGAAGGGTGCTGCTCTTAAACTTAATGTGTTGTGTTCACTCGTGTGCTGTCTAGATCTAGATCTACGGAGGGTTATTGATAACGACACATAGAACTGGCTTCTGCGTTTGTTGCGGCTGCGACCAATCAATCGTGGCTCGATTTTTTGGCATTTTTTGGTCGGGGAATAAAAGTCAAATTTTTTAAAAAAGGAAAAAAAGAAAGAAACCGAACCTCTTTACTTTTGAAAGAAAGTTCACTTAGCTTCACTTAGTCTCTTTCTCACTTGTCACCACGTTGATTTGTTGAATACGTTACAGTTACTTTTAATTTTCCCTCTTTGACTCTTTGTGGTATTTTATTTTGTTAGTGTGTAATTTTTTTTCTTGTAATTTTTCTGATGTGTTGTTTTTCTATCAATTTTTTTTTGTTGGGGAAAGGGGGGGGGGGGGGGGGTGTTGCATAGCGTAACGTCATTTAATTTGATATTCCTACCTTCATTAGATTCTAAATATATATACATTTATATAATAATATATAAATTCAAATGTTTTATGTCAGAGCGTACGTTCCACCAAAACCGATTAGCCTACATGTACTGACACTGGCAGGCCCCTTAATGTGTGTGATTCCATAATATAATTTACATGTAATATCCTGTACTTTAAAAAAAATTTACGCACTTTTAGGGTTAAAACACCCAATCTTCTTCGTACAGGTTGACACACACCCTTATTTGTTAATTTTTGTGGTTATTTATGGGCTGTTCGACTAATTTTGATTTAATTCTGTTGTGAAACCTTTTTTTTCACGTTTTTACACTAATCTAAAAATCTCTAAACTAGCTCTTGAAAATTGAAATAGATATAGACCCAAAAGTTTGCTCCTGTGTGTGTGTGTGTGTGTGTCTATGCATGTGCATGTGTGAGTGTGTCTGTGTGTGATAGTAAGTGTGTAAGTGGAGAGTGAGGAGTGTGTGTGTGCTTTTCGGGCTTTATTTCAGCCTTTATTCAGTAACAGTTCAAAGTATTCAAAAATAGAAACACAGGATCCATTCACTCCAGTGCTCATGAGTCGTTCCTCTCTTTCAGTTTCACTCATTTATTCAATTCCTGTGTTCTCTCCCGCGGCTCATCTCCGTCCTCATGACTTTCACACCCCACCCCCTCCCTCCAGGCACACACAAAGAAAATCTCACTCTTTCCCTTGCACCCTGCGAACCATGGACAATAATATAGGCAAAACACTGCCTTAACCACATTCCCTTCGTTCGTGAGCTGTGGACCAGGCCTGGGGGGGTCAGTGTCGTCGTCTTGTATTTGCTGTCGCCTGTGGATACACTTGTAAATTCTTCCTTTCACCCGCTCTGTCACTCACACTGTCTCTCCATCCACAACTCAGCTCGTCATACGTTCAAAAGTTGCCCACTGATCATGTTTAGTTAGTGTGTGTATAAGTTTGTGTGTGTACATGTGCATGATGGTGGTGGGTGTGTGATGGGTGTTACTGAAGGTTGTATGTAGGCGGGCTTGCCAAGCGGTGTTCCTTCCCCTTCCCAGACCAGAGACAGAATGAAAGTTGGCACCGAACTCTCGCAATAAATAAGCAAAAAATCACGAGACCGGAAGCCGGAAATCGTTCGGAGAAATAAAGATCGGCACTATTTCTCCGAACGTTCGGAGAAATAGTCACTTCGTAAGAAAATTTCTTATTCGGACTCGAGTCCCAATGTAATGAAAAAATGTTATTCGGACTCGGGTCCGGAAAAAAGGAAATGTCTTCGTTCTATAGATCTAACGTTCAGTGCTTCCAATTTTCTGCCATTTTTTAGTTTCCCCAACACCTTTTCTGCCGATCCGATGCCCGCCGCCTCATTGATACGCCCCCCCACCCCCATGTTTCCCACTTTCTTTGTTGTAGAAAAAGGTAAAAGGGAAGGTTAGCAGACCACCTGGCACCTGCATATTATGAGCTGTGTAAAAAAAAAAGACCGATTCGTTCAAATACACAAGCCTGTGTCATCTCGATTGTTTACCAAGAAAAAGTTGTGTTGCTGTGTAGAGCTGAGCATACGGCAACTTTTGATTCCATAGACCAGCGCACAATTCATTACGTAGATCTACGTCAAGATTAGCTTATTAATGTAATAATGATCAGTTGCCAGGGGGAAAAAGACTGACGTGTATGCGACGTTCAACGCCTGGACCGATAGTGCCCCCCCACCCCCCTCCCTGACACGCACACAGCCACACGTGTGCAGGCCGCCCATCCGACCCCGACACACGCTAACGAGCCATCTTTAATTGCTTCTGATGACCTCTTGACAAATAAACATTTATTAGAAGCGCTATAACTTTTCAGGCCGGCCTCAAATTCATCATAAGATAAAAACTCGGCTTCTGCACAAAACGCCTTTTTGCCCGAAGTAATCCCGGTCTCTACCCAGCCTGAGGCGAGTCACGAGTGAGGCAGGACAGGAAGCCGGAGTCACGAGTCATAGGAAGTCGGAAGTGATGTCATGTTGGACAAGAATCAGAGTCCGAATAATCACTTAGTTTATTATATTTCCACACAAGTAGGGTAACTCTGATCGCAAAGTCCGTACTTTTTCTAAGAGGGCGTCACCGAATATATAGAGGACACTTTTTTAATTGGTTCAATAATAGAGGAGTGAACTATCTTGTATTAAATTTATACATGATCTTTGTCTTGGCCAAGATATCGATTGATAAAGTGACGCGGTCCAGCTGAGCGATTATCAAGGCCGTGAGCTATACTTTTATCTAAATCTCAGGGCCATACGCATAGCTACGAGGCTATGCATACGGGAGGAAGTCACAGGCATTTATAAAATTTTAAAGGTTCATTGTAACATTGTTTCAAGAAGCAACATCTCCGTCTCCATGGCTGCATTCTGGACATGTCCATTGATGCTCCGTTGCTCTCTCCAAAATGCAGCTGAGGATCTTTCTACTGATGGTGTCAGTTTGCATCATATTTGGTTGAACGTTCTTCTGTTCTTTCCTGCAACTGCAAGGTCGCAAGGATGCCAGATTTTCCGCTTCCTTTTTGCGGATCAGCGGACAAAGCTCTTTTACTTTTAAGTCTAGCCTACATAAAATAGAAAATAATGATTATCAGGAGGCAAGCTCACTGACACCCCCAAGGCAATCTCTGGTTTTGGCCCCAAGACTAAGATATTATAGAATAAAAATAAAAGAGTATTCATCAGCAGGCATCACAGGCTTGACAACCAGGGGCAAAGCATCTCTATAATCAAATAATTACTGCTTCCCTTCCTAATTTGGAAACATTGTCGCTGTCAAATTCATCCTTAAACGTAAACCTCTTAAATTAAATGTAAAAAGACGTTCGTAATCAACAATGAACAGTATGCCTAACATTCAAAACGGTTTCACGGCCACAGAAATAGCCTCCTCACCCCTCTCGGGCCACTCCATAAACAGTCGCAAGCTTTGATTAAGTAAGCTTAAAGTGAGTCTGGAAGAGTCTACTAATAGAATTGAAGGGAACATGTAAATAGCAGTCCAAGCTGTTTCATTGCCACATATACCCTGTTCACCCCTTTGAGGCCACAGTTATAATCAATCTCAAGCCCTGATTATGTATGCTAACTAACGCTGGTCGAGTCTACCTCACAAATGTGAGGGGAACTAACTCCTAATAATCTCTTGACTGCTGCGTGTGCTTGTTTTTTTTCCTCGACATTTTACCGTCCTATAATCAGATCGTGACCTCGATTATAATGACACCAGCTCCTGGCCGCGAAAGGCTTTACAAAAACAGCCAAATGTGAAATTTTAAAAATGATAATTGTCATGTTCTACCAAAGAGTTAGACTTACTGGTAGATCAATAACATATAGATCTAGTACTGACATCTCTGCTTCTTTGCTTTGTGTTTATGTATTCACATCTAAAGTTAAATTTTTTTGGAACTGATATTATTTATTAATAAGATACTTTCCCGATTATTTTGGCGGTTGAACATGGCCACCTCTATTCTCACCCGGAGTGAGAATAGTGCAGGCGAATCTTGTGGCTATTCTCACCCGGTGCCCGTTCACCAAATTTTGCGTTCACCCTAAACCACAGAATTCTACACTGTAATAACAGAAAAATTGTAGAATTCTGTGCCGTGAACAAACGTTCCATTACAACTGTAGCCTACTAGATATCTAAAAGCGTACAATTTTGTCTGTGGGCAGTGGAGAGAGAGAGAGAGAAAGAGAGAGAGGAGTAGCGCGAGAATTTCCGGGCAAAACAAAATGGCGACCCGCGTAATTCGGCTCGATTCGAAAAGTTAAACAGCCGTAGCATCTTTGACCAAATTAATTTACTTTTGTGTTTTAACATCATTTTTAAACTTTGTTTTGGTCAATTTGATCGTCCACACCGATAGACAGTATTCAGAAAGAGACAGAGAGAGAGAGAGAAGAGGGGAGGAGTTGATCTTGCGAGAACTTCCGGGCGGGTGAGAATAGCCACTTTCGTTGAACATACAATATGAATTCCGGATTTGTTTTCATTCACAACTCAGAGTCGCCGCCTCGAGTAAGATTCTTGTGTGATATCTACAGGCCATATCTGGTCCCATTTCACTTTGATTAGGCTACCCTGTCAAACAAGTCAGCCTTCGCCCCTGTTGACAACAACTTCAACACTTGCACTACTTGATCGATAGACTCTTCAGACTTCAGAAGAGAAGAGGCAGAGGTCTAGGCCTATCTAGATCTAGTCTTTCAGTTTAGAGCCAAAACAATTCAGCGATTTCTATTTCTAGAATATCCTCCTCAAGTCAATCTATTAATTGAATTAGGAAGAGTTTGCTGCTTACGCTGATACACAGGCGAGGTTCTCTTAGCAGGTTCTCTAGTGTAGGGAAGGGCTTCTCACTTCTCAGTTGTACGCAGTATCAAAACATTCAGCCATGATAGATTTCCATGTGAAGCTACAGTAGGCTAAGTAGGCATAGCTGCGTATACAATGTCAGTGTTCACCTGTTTTACACAGGCCTATGCTAACCCTAAATTAATTTATAAGCCTTCATTTTCCATTTTGGTAACAGGAGTTCTCAGATAAAAAGTCTTTTTTAAAAGACAAATTTTCACAACTAGATCTTTGCCTGGGCTATTTCCACTAGGCACTATTTCTCCGAACGTTCGGGAAAATAAAGCTAGGCACTATTTCTCCGAACGTTCGGGAAAATAAAGCTGAGCGAGCACTATTTCTCCGAACATTGAAATCACATCCTTTCCCGCAAATTTCGGATATTATATATATCTAGATCTATAATTATAGTAGGCCTATAGGCCTACCAAAGAATGTTTGTATACAATATGGTTCAATCGGTCCAAAAAATGTCCGCAGTAAATATTCGTATAATAAAGAAATGCTACAGTTCCAAACGGTTTTTCGCTACAGATATGACGTGTTGCCTATGAAGGGAGCTGCTCTTAAACCTAATGAATGTGTTGTGTTCACTCGGGTGCTTTCTAGATCTAGATCTCTAGATCTAGATCTAGATCTACGTAGGGTTATTGATAACGTCACATCACAGAATTCTACGAATTCTGTGCGTCACATAGAACTAGCATCTGCGTTTGTCGCTGCCGCGACGAATCAATCGTGGCTCGATTTTTTGGCATTTTTTTGGTCCCCGAATCGGGGAATAAAAGTCAATTAAAAAATAAAATAAAAAAAAGAAAGAAACCGAACCTCTTTACTTTTGAAAGAAAGTTCACCCAGCTTCACTTCGTCTCTTTCTCACTTGTTGTCACCACGTTGATTTGTTGAATACGTTACAGTTACTTTTATTTTTCCCTCTTTGTGGTGTTTTATTTTGTTAGTGTGTATTTTT